AGGTAGCCAACCCAGATAACACACTGGCTAGACAATTTATATTCGTATAGCGAACATCCCACGCCCTAGTGAAAAGGGTGCACGTAAATTCGACAAGCTATTGAAAGACAAAATAGCCACAAGAATGAATCAGATGTGTGTTGAGAATATTTTTTTCGATAAATGGTACATCATTTAACAGTTTTCAGGAAAATCACATTGGAACGAGAGAAAGCACCAAAATGGAAACTCAATAACAATAAAACTCAGCTAACTAAGACCTATTAACGAAGCACTTAGAACGCCATGCCAACAATTATGGACTATTTATTTATATCTGTTGAGTGAAAAATAGTGATATGACTTGACTGGAAAAAGCAAGAGACAGTAAATTGGTGGACCGCTAAGGTATAGTCATGATAACATGGAACTGTAATCAGGAAAAAATGTTGCACAGTATGAAGTCAGAAAACTATTTAGACTTAGTAACCAAGTCTTCAAATGATTTTCTAAGAGACTTGTCGTCAGGACTGATTGCAGTAACCGGTTAGTTTGACTGAAGTGGAATATGACTCACACTTAACAGTTAGCGAATGAAAACTCGATGTTTACATTCGTAAATCATACCCAAAACTGTGATGTCTTCATCTTGGAATAAGTTTTTTTAACTGAAGATCAACAATCTTTTTGTGACATGCTGTTGATTATTGTCAAATCAGGTACACATTAAGACGACTTATAAATTATTGTACATTGAGCTCAATAATTACCCACAATTTTAAAGTTATTAATCTGAACACAGAAAGCGATGAAATTTGTAAAATCGTGACAGTAAAACGTCTACACTTACTTCTTGATCATCCCAATCCATTTTTCGAATTAGCCGTAAAGTAGTATTAACGGTAGTTCGGTCCAATTTCGTTAGCAAAATATGACGTATAAACATCATTTGAGGTGTCAACTTCACAGGTTCGACAATCTAAACCATTTAGAAAGATAGACGAATTAATGATTATATATATATATATATATATATATATATATATATATATATATATATATATATATATGGACTACAAATCTACTGGACATCTGATTTACTTATTTATACAGTGAAATGAAGTAGTACAAATAACTCCGAGTACTAATTACACAAACTAAAAGGTATTTATAATTAAAAAATTTCACTTTCCAATTCGTTTTTGAATGTATATTTGACACTGCTATCGTTAAAACATTTAGACACTATGCTATGCAAACTTAGTAAATGAGGCTCCATTAGAATTCTCTAACAATTTGTGTGATTACTGACCGCCTTATTAATGAATAAATAATTTAAATTATTACTATAACTCAGCATTTATTACCAAGTTTTGTGTATGCTTTTTTATTCATATACGATAAACTCAAAATATTTACAAGTTAAATCATACCAACCGAACAATCAATATGAGCTATAAAAACAAAGCCTAAGTAAAAAAATAGTACAATATGAAAGTTAATAATGTACTGTTAGTGTTGTTGAATCATAAGATACCTGGCGATTGGACGGTGGTGGATTACAATAATAATATGTATTTTCAATCATAATAGAATAACGCTGATCCATATGTAAAGCAACTTTTTTTCTAAGCATTATTTCCAAATAAACTTTTGTACGTTTATGTGATATAGGTAAACGATAAAGAAAACGCCCACAAGTATCCAATAAAGCACAGGCCATATCGATGTTATGGTGTACAAATTGAGGAAGAAGTTGTTTTAAACAAGTCAAAGCTTGATGAGCTGGATAAATCTTAAATTTGACAAGTTCCCCTAAAAATAAAAATAATCAGAGAAAAACACTCTCGAGTTTATAAACAACTTTATTTGGAAGCATGAATAGACATTAATAACTAAACAACGCCTATAACCGAAATCACAGAAAATGTAGTCATAAACCTTGAAACACAAATCTACCGAAGAAATGGCCTAATTTAGTATGTACATACAATAACTGAAAGCGTGATAAATGCATAGTAGCTGCTAAGTTTAGTCTATAAGGTAATAACGGTATTTAAACATGTACAGACATCATCAACAGAGTTTCACATATGCTTTGGGGCAAGCTAATAAAATTGATTAGCATGACGAGATGAAAATAACAAGAAATCGAAATAATAGTGTCAATGATATAAAGAAAGACTGTGCCTTAAGAATATGATTTTAAAACACAGAGTGCGTAGATATACATGAAGGCATACTGGAATTTAGGATCGAGAGGAAGATAAAAGGTGAATGCATTTGGGTTATTGTGAACAATTTTGAGCCATATTGCGCAAAGTCGCTAACCACAATTAAACCTAAGGGTATGAAACTAACCTGTAACATTTTAAAACTCATAGTTAGACCGATTACAAATCTAATGTCATTATAGTCAAAGTAGTATAAAATCACCAAGTTACGAAAATATTATGTAAACTCACCAATAAATCGAACCACTTTCAATTTGGATTCGATATTTAATTGATCTCGTTTAGATAGACGCCAACGGAATTCTGCAGTAAGCATAGAATTGATATCTTGTACCAAGTCAGGCATCACTGGGGCTAATGAAGCCACAAGGCGCGCATAAAATGGTAATAAATCATAACGCGTTCTTGGAACACTAAATAAAGCTTTAGCAAGCCGTCGACGATTTGCCCGTTTATTTAAATTCAAACAAAAGTCGATAGCTGCCTGAGATGGAAATTAAAAAGGTAGTGTTTACTTCATTTAAAAACGAAGAATCCATCATTTAATCAAGTAGCTGCAATATTCTTAACACAATTTTTTTACAATGTAACTGGAAATTAAGTCATTTCTTTAGATTAACATCAAAGTAAAATGCCACTTTTTAAATGGGACGCATAATATTTAAAGCCATTACCTTGGTAAGAATTGTCAAGATCATACCAAAATACATATTTCCCTTATGTGATCTACCGTGTTCTGTATCCGCTAACATTAGCAATTCTGAGGAACTACTGAATTTAAAGTGAAGAGAACACATGTAAAGACACAACATACATACATATTTTAATGTAGTATGACTATAAGTGAATTAAACCCTGCAGTCCAAACACTGTCTTTTATATTTTGAATTTTTAGAAGTACTATTCCAATCCCTTGAAGAAAATGTGTAAACCCAGACAAATTTTGCCAATTGACTATTTTAGTAATATTACAAATTATCCGACCATTTTTATTTGGAAATTACCCTTACTTGTATACGGCTAAAGAGGTAACACCATAAAAAGAATTATTCGATATTCACATGAACTTGTTTGTTTTACCGAAATTCCTAAAATACATTGTACGAGATTTCTTCCAGAAAAAGTAACACATGTAAATCCAATGACAACTGTTACCAAGTCACAAAAGCAAAGAGTATTTTTAATCTGCTGTGATTTAGTAACACTTTTAACGAAAGGTGGCTGTTGTTGAACGTTTGCAGTTCCCGATACTAGTCGAAAGTCAGGAATAAATACATTGTAAGATAATAATAAGAATACTAATCACTTTAATTAATACTGTCATAAAACTACAGTCTTTAGATTTATGGGTGAAAATAGACTTAATATCTGAGACTTTTAAACTATGGGAAACATATTCTGTGGATTTTCAGTGAAAATTAGTGATACTAAAGACAAACTGATAATAAAGTATATGTTTTTTCTGAATCCCTCATAAAACCAATCAAATATACCGAAACAAATTCTGATGCCGAAATTCAGAGAGGTTTAGTGCAAGTTTTCAGACATAATATTTACTTACTCGATCGATGAGATCCCGATTAATGCAGTTTGGTAATTGGGTTAAAAACGTTTCCATGAGAACTTTCCCCGAAGGATTTAGATCTTCTTCACCTAACGACATGAAAAACATTGAAACAAACGTACGAATAATGACAGAAGTTATCCCCGTAAAGTGGAAAACACAAATGTTACGAGCAATAACTACTGTTGGTTACCAAAGTTATCATTAATTTATAAAGCAGAACAGGGGAGTTTATTGTAAGAAGTTAGACTTGTATATCTGAGAATTGGGTAAACGTAATTCTGAGTTGTTAAATTACATCGCTATGAAATCAAAAAACGAATTTTCGAGTTTCACAGTAGACACAATGATATGTCAATGTAATTATCAGGATCGTATGATCATAAAGTAGTTTACACGCGGCAGCATTAAACCAGTTCTAAACTCCAAAGCATGAAATACTAGGATTCAGTGAGTATGTAAAACAGAAACATTCCTAGAAGTACTGTATATCATAGTTCGAACAAGTTGCACTAAAAATCTCGAGATTATGTATAAAAGACTTAGTACATCACATCTTCAAATTCTATCATGAACCTTTACAACATAAAACAGCAAATAATCACTGCATACAAACATTGTGAAAAAAACATACCATCATCGGTATTTAACAGATATGGTTTTGATTTATCAGGTATAGATGTGCAATTAGTTGATTCATTACCATCTTCTGATACTCGAATTAATGCTTCTTCTTTAGCTAATTCTGATTCAACGGTGTCAATATCAATATCTACAATGAATGAAGAGAAGATTGCAATATAACATCAAAATGTGCACAGCAAGACAATTATGACAAAATTCAGTTGGTCAAATGAACAGAGCTAATGATCACAAAGATGTTAAGGGTCAACAAGAATCATTTTAAAATTTGACATACATAGACTATTGAATTGATAGTTGTAACTGGTAGCAATACTTGTTAACAAATCCCGAAGAAACATCTGGATTCGCATAATCCCTTTTCATAGGTATTGTGTTTTAAGTCAATTAACTGGTCATAAATCATTAAGATCAACTACTTTACATTTTGTAATGCACTGTTTAGACTAGCATTCAAAAACTTCGTAAACTGGTCTCATGTTAATTGCGAAATACATTGAGGTATGTGGACATTAATATTTCAAACTAACATGGGATATGAAGGATATTGACTGGATATATATACATACAGCTTTGACTATTTTTATTGATTTATAATGACGACTTCCTAGATTCGATTATTTTCAATGTTTACAACCCAACTCCAACACATGAGGATATTACTTCAAAGTAAGTAATCAAATACCCGTGTTCCTACATTAGTAAAATAAGTAAAGTTATCTTTTATCTATTTATATTTATTTTTATTTCACAGCTTTCTTAGTCAGGATAGGAGTTAACGACTAAAGAAATAGTAAAATAACGAGTATACCTGACCTTTGGTATGGATTCTAGTTAAGCGCAAAGAACATAAATACCACACCATTGATCATTTGTTCAGATGAGGACTTTAATGAAAATGCAGTGGGTGAAGAGTTCTAGTGCAGGTGAGTTGCTTGAATGTGTGCACGTCATACCCTAAACAAAAACCAAATTATATGTCGACCACGGCATTATAAGATAAAAACTAAATCAATACTACTTGAAAATAAGACAGTAAGTAAATATTAGTTAATACTACATAGTATATATATCTTAATATGAAGTACGAGTAAACGAATCTATTGGGGGTGGTCACTTAGTGACCGAACCACTTGGCTTTTAATCGATGTTGTAATCTAAATCCTGCCCTTACTAGCCGTCATTAAAGTATGGCTCAAGAAGACGCATGTAAATCTGTACTTAGTGAATGATTTAGAATATTATTAATAAACAAATCAAGACGATTTTTTCAAGTATTTGATTTCGAGGTCGTGTATAACAAATTGTCGCTCAGTATGATGATGAAACAAGAGTTGAATTCATGACATGTATACCTTATATTTTGTGCTTGATTACCCAAGCCGAGAGTAAGATTGGAAACCATAGAAAGCACAAACCGGTATATTTTTTATGAATCAGGTATGTTCGTTGAATAGATAGTGCTGTAATTTTGCTAAATATGAATCATAAATACCCAACAAAAAAGGCAACTAAATGCATTTTATATAGCATCAACATTGACAAATAAAATTCACTTGACCCAAAAATACATCCATAAAATATTAGGAGGAACTTATGAAAATGTTGGAAGTAAATCTTACCTTCACTTCCGGCAGGATCTCCATCCTCATTCTTTAACTGATTTGATTCTACACCAGCTTGTTCACTTTCTTTATAAAGGATCTATTAGGAAACAAAGTACATATGATAGATATATACTGGTACCGGTAATAAAGCAAAAACAGGAAACAAACATACAATTATTTTGTGGATAATTTTCATACAAAAAGTCCCACTCACAGAAACTGACTATTATTATGTAACTAATGGAAAAGAAATGTTTCACAGGTGACTAAGCAAACCTTTCTAGAAAAAATACGTCACAAAAACAATCATGAAGACAATGATTTGGAAGTTAATTGCTTTGGCAACACTAAAAGACCGTTTACACACATTGAGGTAAACAGTCAACTCATAACATTCCATATTTAATCGACGTTTTCAGTAGAGTAATAAAATGGATTTTTAAAAACATGTGTTAAGGCTAGCCAAGTATCACTTGTAAACGAATAAATCAAATACTCACTAGATCATATCCGAGTAACAGGATTAAAGGTTACCTAGATGTAGATAATTACATTACAAAATACAAAGCAGTAAAAACAGTACAAAAAGTTAACAACAGGTAACTAACCGCAGGTACCATTGCTTTGATATCAGGTAGACTTTCGTAAAATAAACGTGTATCTTCATCTTCAAACAGATTAACCTCTTCATGAATAACTTTCTGTAATTTTAAATTTGATGATTAATAGATTTATCACTTACTTCGACTGAATCAGGTGCGGTCAAGTCTGACATAGATTCATCTATAAACGACAAAGATGTTATTTAATTTGAGTTGTATAATATGTTAAGCAATAAAATATTAAACTAATATGGTCAATTTACCTATCGTCAATTGTCTGGATAAATGAGTAATACAAAAAGTCAAATGAAGGAAACTAAATTTACCATACCATTATATGTAGTTAATGAGCACCTAAACACAAAATAAATCTCTTAGTAACACTCTTCGAAAGCGTGGTCTACTTAGAGCCCCTTTATCGTAGGCTTATTTGGTGTTTAAGTCAAGCCTTTCTCGCTTGTATTTCAACTAACAATTACACCGTCTAATATGGCATGGGTTATGAAACCCAATATTTTTGTTATTTTTAGTACTGAAGTTCAAAGGAAACCTACGATAGAGTTGAACCCGGACCGATAATAACCAGATTAATTCGAAATTTAGCATTCATATACTGACCCAGGTACAAGTCTTTGAACGGAACTTAACTATCAAGCCATTTAAGTCAATAAAGATGAACTGGAACCTGAACTTGTGAGTTGGTTTCATTAACTACTGCGCTACATTACAACTTCAGCGATCAATCAACCAATTTACATGACCGGATAACTATATCTCAATCCTATACAAACCCCTAAGTGTTGTTTATTTATGTGAAACAAGTTGATAATACTTCATACTAATTAAACAACCATATCTTTTCTTTACAATTCACATATGGCTGAATTGAAAAGAATAATCAACTGAAATGAATGAACTCAATAATAAAAGGCAAGAAATAATAGAATATTTCAGAAACAAAAAAATACAGAATGAATATATCAGTGCCACTGGTACCTGCGCCCAACCATATTACCTAATTTATAACCACTACATTTGGTTATCAAGTGAGATCACATTACGAAGACTGCAACTCCACTGTGTTACAGACTAACAATCACCTTTTTCATTAACCGGTATTATTTTTTCAATCTGTTAACCTTTTGTTTCTTATTAGCCTGCTTCTACACTAGGCAGTATAGCCAACTGGGAACAGACGATGAAAGGACAGGAGTGACTCGTACGTGAACGACATCAGTGGATGAAGTTTTATAACCTTATTAACTAATTTACAGTGTCTATCCGACACTCATCTTTTAATACCAGCAATGCTTACTTATTAGTTGCACAACACCCAAGTAATATTTTGAAGGTAATTTTTGGTTGATATACACAAATCATTTGTATTTGGTATCCGGTGTTATAAGTTGTCTCATATATACACAATGAAATCAAACTTGCCTTTTATCATAGATGAAAAATCAAGTGGTGGATCTGCGTCCAAAAGATCAGCTAAAGTACTTAAGGACTCATGAAATTTACGACAGGCTGACATTAAATGCTCCGCCCGTTCTTGCCTCTCTTCGCTAACTTCACCACGACTTTCGAGTTGGTCCCTGTTTCCTGAGATGATTCGTTGGGTTTCTTTGAACATATTTTGTAAACGATGCATCGCTCCAGCTAGATAGTCATTGAATAGTGTACGACACTTTGCTTGACGTTCAGATGACATGAAGACGGAACGTGGAACCGGCATTTCATACTTTTCAGATAACAGTCTGCATGAGATTAAAACACATGAAATAATTAATTCATCCACAACTAACAGAACACAACATTAAATGTTATGAGCTGATTGGGAAAACCATCGTGAAGACTTCTGGCTTGAGAGTCTTTCGGTTTAACACACTAAGATCCCATTTACATAGTACTGGCTCTCCAAAGTTGTCTTAAAAGATTTCTTGCATCAGTTCATAAAAAAAATTTGAATAGCAAAGGAATACCGGAACATACGTTAGTCATTAAAATGTATTTCCGTTTGAATACCCGACCGTAGCTGCTACCTTGACGCGGTGGTCGGGCTTGCCTATCGTGATGACCCAATCGAGTTATATTGGCTGGAGCATATGTTCCTGTAGGTCCTACCATGCCAGGCAGGTCGATTGGAGAACGGTAAGACTAAAAGCAGCAACTCAAGGTCTGAGGGCGAAGTCGTACTGCTGACTGTAAGGGAGTGATAGCAGTAAGTCGTTTCCCTCGGACAACCAGCATCTGCAGCTATGCTGCATTCTCACAAGGAAGGAAGGGGTTAGAAAAGTCCGACCCTAAAAATATCACACCTCACCTTACCTCACGGATTTCTGTCTCCGACGGTAAGGCTCTTTGAAGAACGGAGCTAACACGTCAAAAACTTCACACAAAAAAACCGTGCGCGACCGGCCTCAAGCAGTTGTCCCTTGGGCTCTGCGGTCACACTCCCAGGTCGTTAAGGCCAACATTAATCCAATTTCCTTTTCAGGTTCCTCAAGAAATACCCTTCCACGGTGTGGGCAGCCGGGAAGTGACATCAGCCCTCATACCCGTAACAGCACAAGAGACCAAGGTGGTCACATTCAAATCCTCCCTACACCAAATACCTCTTTTATCTCCCCGACTAACCCTTTTCACGTCCCTTTATCACCTTGCACCGCTAGGGCAAACGATTCGAGTACGCGTAACGTTATTCCTGGTCTCCTGAAACCACGCTCTACACTTCATGTTGGAGCTTATAACGTCCGAACACTGTGCCAAATAGGACAACAGGCTTCCTTAGCTAGGACTTTAGAATCTCGCGCCATCGATGTGTGCTGCGTCTCCGAAACACGCATACAGGATCCGAGTAGCGTCATTCACTTGACCTCACCAGGCCAAAATAAAGAACCGACTCGATTCACACTTCGTGTATCTGGAAGCCCTGATTCTGCTTCCCGTGGCCTCGCCGGCGTAGGTATAGCATTGAGTCCCAGGGCAGAACTAGCTCTCTTAGAGTGGATCCCAGTAGACAGTCGTTTGTGCGCTATCCGACTGAACGGAACAGTAAGGATCCGGAAAGATAGGGACACTCGTCGTTGCCTCTTCGTCGTCTCTGCCTATTCTCCCACTGACTGCAGCGCAGATGATGTAAAAGATGAGTTTTACAGAAAGCTCTCCGACCTCCGAAAAGCTAGGCGCTTGGATGTAGTAATAATGGCCGGTGACTTTAATGCTCAAGTAGGTAAACTAAGTGATAGGGAAAGACACTTGGGTAGATCTTATAGTGTCGTGGCTCAAAGAACAGATAAAGGCGACCGTCTGTTGCAGCTATGCTCAGATAACCGCCTCTTTCTTACAAATACTAACTTTGAGCATAAGCAAAAACATCTTTTGACATGGCGACCCCCTAGTTCATCCCAACGTCGGACCCAAATAGATCACATCGCTATCAGCCACCGATGGAGGGGCTCGATAGAAGACTGTCGCTCATTCTGAAGCACATGCCTTGATTCAGATCATGCTGTAGTGCGAGCGCGTATTTGCTTGCGTCTTACTGGACGTAGGAAAGACGCTGCAAGGAAACCTCTTAGGGGCCTACTTAATGATAGTCAAGCTAAGAGTATATTTCAGGAACAACTAGAAAAACAGTTAGGCAGCCATGTATGTGATGCCCACCCCGACAATCATTTATTTTTAACAAGCACTAATTTTAAGCATAAGGAGGGACATCGTCTAACATAGTAACCGCCTGCACCAAACCAACGATGGACTCAAAGAGACCATATTGCCATCAGTCATCATTGCAGGGGCTCGACAGAAGACTGCCACTCGTTCGAGAGTACATGTTTAGACTCTGATCATGTTCCAATACGGGCACGCATTTGCTTACGCTTCGCCCCCAAATACCCTGGTACGGCCGAGAGTGAGGAGAGTCCGCTCTCCCTCTCGAAATGCTCTCACATGGCCACGCGTATATACGCAGGGTATTAGGGAATGATGGTAAATCAGTTGATGAGGTTATTAATCTTCATCGACTGAGATGGTTGGGCATCGTGTTACGTATTCCTGAACACCGATTACCACGAAGTGCAAGGCTAACCGGTATTGGAGATGGTTGGAAGAAAGTTAGGGGCGGCCAAACCAAAACGTGGCATCAGTGCTTGAAGACACTAACTTCTAGTCTGAGCCATGTTGGTAGATGCAGACTACTTGGTTGGGGTCCGCGTGACTATCGTAACCAATGGTTGGAGACTCTTGGTGACATGGCTCAGAATCGATCACAATGGCGTATGCGTATACACTCCCTGTCTTCCCTTAAACTAAGAGATTAAAATCGCTTCATATCTTTCTTTCTACGAACCAATTCTTTCTTCTTGTACTATATCTCTATATGCAATCTTTCTCTTACATATTACTACCTTTGACCTAACCACTGCTATGAATCCGGTGTTCATCTTGTTGTGCTGATGCGGTATGGCAACCTGGACCGATGCACATATGTGCCTGGTCCTACGTTGTAGCTGACTGACTGACTGACTGACTGTGTGGCGCATATGTATTTGGTGCCTCTTTGTACCAATATCTATGTTGAAATAAATAAATAAATTATGGTGTAGGAGTAGGTTGGGAGAAAGCTAGTAGCGACCAGACCAAAACATCGCAGAAATCCATGAAGTCACTGACAAGTGAACTGAGCCATGTTGGTAGGTTTAGACTACCTAATTGGGGACCGCGAGATTATAGCAACCGATGGTTAGATACCCTGAATGACATGGCTCAAAATCCTTTGCAATGGCCCAGATGCATCCACTCTTTGTGTTCCCCCAAATTCTAATCTTCTGAGTTCGTCATGTCCCTTCCTTCTTCTTTCTAAATTTATTTCACTGTATTATACTCCTTGAATAACATCTTCAAACCCTAATCTTTCCGATTACTGCTTATACTCTTACCACCTCTACCACTACGGGATTTGAATCGACCACTGCATCTCTGTGCTAATGTGGTGTGGCAACTCGAACTGATGTACGTACGTACGAAGTTCTACGTTGTTACTGACTGACTTGAATACAAGTAGCATGATTTAAAAAGTTGTATATGTTCAGCCATATTTTGGAGCATGTATGTGATAAAAACAACGGAGTTTCATTTCACATGGACAATTATGCCATCCATGCATTATCTGAAGATTGACGGCAACACCTGAGGGTGGATAAGAAATATATCCTAACACAAACGAATTCCCGTTGCTCACAGTTGTTTATCCTAACCGGTAATATGCTGTGTAGTAGCTTTTTATAGCTTGAGTAGTTGAAATACTCTCATTTTAATCCCTCTTCAGAACATATATATATCCCTGCACAAACTTAGGAATCATCTACCACTGTTATTATTTATTTGAACACATAAATATTGATACAAAGGGGCACCGAATAAATATGCGCTACACAAGTCACTTGATTTTCGTGTGGGCTGGGATACTACCCGAGTGCCCAAACCGAAGCAGGGGGTTTTCTTAGCGAGCACACCCGGAGCCTTCGACCTAAAGGTCTGATCCAAAAGGCAGTGGAGCCACGTTAGGAGACGCAGTCCCATGGTGGGCGGTGATCAACGATTGGTTCATACGCCATTTGCTCCTTTAGGATCCTGGAGCCCATGTGCAGCATTGGTTGGAATCAGGGTTTTCCAGTCTCTTTAGGTGGACCCTCCATATCTACCAACCTGGTTAATGCGCCGGACATTTGACTAACATACTATCCGATATTATGGTCGACGGATAGTATATGAGATAGCATAACTCGACATAACAAGACCTGATCAGATTGCATGAATTTCACACTACACTTACCATGCTAGAAGAGTTAGTAAATGGATGTAATTAACCTAGTTTTAAAGTACCAGTAACATGATTTGACGGTCTGATAATTTGATAGGTGCCTTGAAACAGAAATATATCTGTAAAATCCGTAATTTTTATAGCATTAGCTGACAATGTTTGTTCCTTCAGCTATCGATACGCTCGTTAGCTTTCAGTCTATATATTTTTTTCAAATGGCTTTCAAAAGATGGTGAAGCGTCAAAAGACAACTCAGTTTAGTGTAATTTTACAGATATATTAGTTCTCTTATGAGCATTCAAGTTACTTTTAGTATTCTGTAAACTTAATTGTGCACCATTACGATAGGAAAATCATATTAGCATGCGAGACTGTAGTTAAAAGCCGTGAAAATATAGCTTTTTAAATTTCACATAAAGCTGAATTAATAACATGCTTAAACGTTCAATCGATTTACCGTATACGACGCGGAATGACTCCTATCCAGTCGTCACTGCAATGTCTACAGAAGCTACTAATTATCCCGATATTGGAGAAGTTATCATGATCATTTGCAGTTAGAAGAGTCAATTGCCCAGCCAACAGTCGGATACCATCAGCGTCTCGAAATATTCCGATTGTATTAAGATCAGCGAATAAGGCCAAATCAACTCGTAGTTTGGAAAGATTAGTGTTCTAGGGGATCTCTTCAAAAAATTATTTTGATTACCTTTAAATCTTTGTGGGAAGAGAATGATTTCTTCCAAGCATCAAAAAACAACACTCCAAAATCTGAATACCGTTGATACATCGCTGAACATAATTTCAACATAAAAGGAATATCAGTTAATTTTATTTTCGCTTCAACGATCGCGGTTGCCACTTCTTCGACATATTTAGAAAGATTCAGGGACTCGAACTCTGATAAAAGCGCATCTTTCTGGCTATCGAGAAAGTTTCGCTGCCAATTTTTTAAAATTCGCAAAATATTCAATCTTACCACTTTCTTGACAAAAGCAGTATTCTTTTTCAAAGTTGAATCCTTTTTTACGAAGAAGGAATCATCTGGCCATTTGCCTGCAACTGCTAAATTTTGCTCCAACAGTGTTGTTCTCAAAGACAAACGTTCAGAAGCTTCAACAATGAACTCGGTTACTTGCTTTCGCTGAAAAAGTTACTAACTAGCTTAAAAAACATACATCTATTTCGGACATAATTTGATCTTGTTCATTCATTTTTAGTTCATTTAGAAGTTCACATTACACTCCTGTAAAAAAGAGAAAAGTTTTCCACAAATCAGGAGTGGTTAAACAAAGCCACTGAGGATTGGATTGAGCCTCGTTAACATGTACATACTATTTGGGTTATGCGTGATTATCATAACCAGTGATTAGACTTTGAATGACATTGCTCAAAATCACTTGCAATGGTGCAGGCGTATTTACTCTTTGTATTCCCCTGGATTATAAGTTTCTAGATTCCCCATACACTTTTTACTTCAATAATTTATAATTCTCTAATCGTATCTTTGATGGCTCGTTTTATTACCAATAATACTTTTACTAACTCGACTACTCTGAGGTTTGTCCTAACAACGTCGCGTTGCTGTGTTAGTGGAATGGGGTAACTTGAACCAGTGTACAAAAGCACCAAGTCCTACGTTGCGTTTGACTGATTAATTACTCATTCTGTATTAGAAACGGTAAAATCTATGGTATTTAGTTCTTCTTGCATGACGGAAAAGCACACAGTGACAGTGACTATCAGATAACAATTGTTGAAAAAGTTTTCCACATTGTTTGACATCTTAATTTACCTTCTTTATTGTTAATTTATCTTCTCTATGATGACGTGAAATGTAGCAACTTTAAATAATACAGATTTATGAAATGTCTTACCCTATTTTGATATCGACTAGGATATTATTGACAAGTATATTATTCCATAAGGAATATCTAACAACAAAATAACCAAAAGTAGTACAATTCAAGAATATCGACTAGCAAGCTCTACAAAAATGATGTGATTATTGCCTAATACTCTAGGGATGGTTACTTGGTTTTCCCAAATTTGGCCGATTTTTCCATAGAATAATAGTCTAAAATACGTTTTTACGAATTAACGATCAACTGATTTTAAGTCATATTTCTGAAGAATGGATTGACCTCCGATACTCTTATAGTTACACTGTTATGCACTAACCATTTGTTACATTTTATTTACAAGCAAAAATAACTTCCTAAGTCGCTAATTTAATAAAAAACTAGTTATGGCAAATAATAAACGGATATACTGGATAATTACTTTCAGACTATTGATTAGATTGCTGAAACCAAGCCACCATTTGCTTTTAATGGGTTTTTACCCTTAAAGTAACACTCCCCTATCATTATGATAGTTCAGTCATTCATTGTCCGAGACGGTGAACATAATTTTCTTTAATGAAAGAGGTAGCTAACACTTGAAGATGTCAACTACATTAACCAAGAAAAAATGGGCAAAAAATCCCAGTCAAAAACTTTAAGTGGAGTATGGAAGACCCTGTAACAGGTTGGACAAACAAATATAAACAACTTGACAAATCACGTTGACACGAGATGAGAATGAAAAGATGAATAGCAAAACCAAAAAGCATTAATGTAGTAGCAGTAATAAAAAGAAAGACAAAACCTCGAGCACGCACGAAGGGAAATTGGAGTTCAAAACCTAGAGAGATATAGATGATGAACCACCCGACCGTTGTTGCTACCTTGGCGTGGTGGTCGGGCTTGCCTATCGTGATGAACCAGTCGAGCTATACTGGCTGGAACGATCATTCCTTAAGGTTCTACCATGTCAGACAGGTCACTTGAAGAGCGGTAAGACTAAAAGCAATAAACCCAAGGTCTGAGGGTGAAGTTGTAATGCTGACTGTACAAAGGTGTGACGGCAATAAGGTGTTTCCTTCAAACAACCAGCATGACAGCGATGCTGCCTTCCCACAAGGAGGGGTGTGGTTAAGAAAAGGTCAACCCTAAAAATACACACCTCGCAATAACTCACGGATATCTGTCTCCGGTGGTAAGCTTTCAACAAGTACGGAGCTAACACGAAAATTACCCATAAAAATGTCGTGTGTGACCGACCTCAAGCAGTTGTCCCTTGGGCACTGCGGTTACGCTATCAGGTCACTGAGACCACCTCTAAACCAATTTCCTTTTCAGGTACCTTCAGAAGAACCCTTCTACGGTGTGGGCAACAAGAAAGTGATAACCGCCCTCGTACTTCTAAACAGCACTCAAAACCACTGTATTCATAATCAAACTCCCTCTTCAATTCCTGTTATTCCTCCTACATCGACTTTCAACTGTAAACTTTCTCCTCAAGTGCCACCATAGCCAACGATTCTAGTACGCAAAACACTGTCTCAGGTCTATTGAAACCTCGCTCCAAGCTACACATTGGAGCCTTCAACGAACGCGCCCTATGTCAAATTGGTCAGCAGGCCTCCTTGGCTTAAACCCCAGAATCTCGTACCACTGGTTGATGGTGTGTCTCAGAAACACGCATACAGGATCCTGGTGTGGTCATCCACTTGACCTCACCTCGTCGAAACGGGGAGCTGACGAACACCCTCCGTGTATATGACCACCCGACGACTAGTTCTCGTGAACTGGCGGGTGCAGGCATAGCACTAAGTACGAAGGCAGAACAAGCACTACTAGAGTAGATCGCTGTTAACAGTCGCCTGTGGTATTCGGTTAAACTGCTCCGTAAGAACTCGGAAGGATATGGACACACGTTGTCACCTTTTCTTCATTTCTGCCAACGCTCCCACTGACTGCAGCTCAGATGAAGTGAAAGATGAATTTTTCAGAAAGCTTTCTGAACTTCTTCAAAAGCTAAACACTCAGACATAGTACTCGTAGCAGGTGACTTTAATGCCCAGGTAGGTAGCTTAAACCAAACAGAAAGACATTTATGTGGGTATCTTGGTATTCCGACTCAGTGAACAGATAATGTTGACTATCTGCTGCAGCTGTGTTCAGACAATCATTTATTTTTAACAAGCACTAATTTTAAGCATAAGGAGGGACATCGTCTAACATAGTAACCGCCTGCACCAAACCAACGATGGACTCAAAGAGACCATATTGCCATCAGTCATCATTGCAGGGGCTCGACAGAAGACTGCCACTCGTTCGAGAGTACATGTTTAGACTCTGATCATGTTCCAATACGGGCACGCATTTGCTTACGCTTCGCCCCCAAATACCCTGGTACGGCCGAGAGTGAGGAGAGTCCGCTCTCCCTCTCGAAATGCTCTCACATGGCCACGCGTATATAGCCTCTGCCAGGGAAGTCCTACTCACTGCCTTCTCGTGGCAGGGGTGTTGTTTACAAAAATGAGAGGACGAAAAGCGAATGTCCGGCGCTTTAACCGGATCCCAAACCAATGGTGCACATGGGCTCCAGTATCCTGCGGGAACAAATGGCGTATGAACCAATCGTTGGTCACCGGCTACCATGGGACTGCGTCTCCTCACGATGCTCCACTGCCTCGTGGGTCAGGCCTTTAGGTCAAAGGCTCGGGGTGTGGACCCCTAAGAAAACCACCTGCTTCGGTCTGGGCACCCGAGCAGTATCACAGCCCTCACACATATCGAGTGAGATTTGTGTGGCGCATATGTATTTGGTGCCTCTTTGTACCAATATCTATGTTGAAACAAATAAATAAATTATGGTGTAGGAGTAGGTTGGGAGAAAGCTAGTAGCGACCAGACCAAAACATCGCAGAAATCCATGAAGTCACTGACAAGTGAACTGGGCCATGTTGGTAGGTTTAGACTACCTAATTGGGGACCGCGAGATTATAGCAACCGATGGTTAGATACCCTGAATGACATGGCTCAAAATCCTTTGCAATGGCCCAGATGCATCCACTCTTTGTGTTCCCCCAAATTCTAATCTTCTGAGTTCGTCATGTCCCTTCCTTCTTCTTTCTAAATTTATTTCACTGTATTATACTCCTTGAATAACATCTTCAAACCCTAATCTTTCCGATTACTGCTTATACTCTTACCACCTCTACCACTACGGGATTTGAATCGACCACTGCATCTCTGTGCTAATGTGGTGTGGCAACTCGAACTGATGTACGTACGTACGAAGTTCTACGTTGTTACTGACTGTTTCATGTTATGAAAAGCTTTTATGGGAAATCCCAAATAGTGAAAACATAAATGCCTGACCACAAAGAATTATATGCTCACTGGCCTTCAATTTTTTCGCAACTAATGACATCCGAGAGTTGATTATGTGAGATGTAATTAAATTACGTGGAAATGCAGAAGGATCGAACTAAATGAGAAAAGGTCTCAACGCTAACATTAACATTGGCACTGTTAGATTTTGTATCTAGCTTTCAACTACCTTATTTAACTTAAAAACTACGACACATAGTAGTGTGCGATCCCCATCATGATTCGGAATTCAAGGCACCAGTGATCACGTTTACTTTGCAAATAAGCCGAA